AGTGAGAACCAAGGCAAGAGTTCTGTGCTCTATTTGCTATATTGCTTGATCTGAAAACCAAAAGTTATTCTTTCCCTTATTGAGTAGTCTCTCTCGGTCTCACTTGAGTAATCTCTCTCGAACTCACTTTCCCATAGCCTGGCTTGCACCTGGAATTCTTCCCCTGCAGAAGCAGCCTTGAATGTCTATCTAACCTCCCTTCCTGTCTGTCAGCTTCTAAAACAGTTTCGTTTTCACACAGAGCATCACTCAAATCCCCCTCCGTTCTCCCAACTGGGGAATCACCATCCTCTTCTAACATCCCCTCTGTCTGAGCATCAGGCCTTGCAATCCCTGCACCCCCAAACCCCTCTCTTATCATCCTCAGCTGGCTGAACTACACCAAACCCCTCATCTTCATCTTCAGCTGGCTGAGCTACAACACCCACATTCAAAAACTCAATTGTGAACTTCTTGGAAGAAACTTGTTCTTTGTTTCTCTGTAAAGTTCTGTGCATATTGATGGTGATATAATAACACTGATATCATACAAAGGTTAAGGTTTTCGCTTGACATTAAGTCTAGTTGTATCTGATTCTGGGGGGTGGTGCTCATCTCCATTTCTAAGCTGAAGAGCTGGTGTTGTCCATAGATGCCTCCAAGGTCATGTGGCTGGCATGACTTTCCTATATCTATATCTACATACTTTGGTCAGTATTTTCAATATTATAAATGACTTCCCCTTTCCTCGCTTGGTGGACTTCTATTGTGTTGAAAGTGTGTCATAAGTGATCTACTGAATTCCACTCAGATTTGCTCAGTTCCAAATCTGTACAAATTGAGCTGAAACTACAGACTGGTTGAATAGTCATTCCCAAAGTCTAGAACCTAAGGACAGCCTATTAGGAAAACAAGGCAAAGAATTCTCAGTTTCTTTCCAAAATGAGGGTTCTTAGGATTTTGTTGGTGGGGAAACACAACTTAAGGAGGTGAATTTGTTCAATCTCTTCTCTTTATTAAAAGACTGTCCCAAAACATACTACAGTATTTTGCAAAGATGTGGCGAAAGCATAAAACCCTATGTTGTCAGAAAAGTAGAATGCTAATTACAGCCTTGTCCTTAGCTACCTCTGGATTGGATCTTGGCAACAGTTATGGTAGTCCCCTTGCACTAAGATTCACTGAGCTCCTTGGCCTATGCTGCTCCCTAGCTATCTTATTAACTGAACCAAATCCATCCAGATTACCATGGATGAGATGGCTCACCAATGATAATATTGCTGGTCGTAGAGAGGGGAAAGCCAGTTGGTGGCTCAAGCCCGGGCTTGAAGTGCCCCGCTGCGGGCCTGGGTGTGGGAGGATTAGCAAAGGCTCCGGTGAGAGGAGCACACCTTCTTTCTTGCCAAGGGAGGGGCAGAAGAGCTCCCAGCTTCTCTCTTCATAGCAGGCAGAAAAGAACCACCTTGGCCAATGTGGATGAAATGTCAGGAGTGGTAAAAGGCGAGGTAGCCAGTACACAGGGCGGGGGAGGAGAAGGTGTCCCAGATAGTTCTAGCTGTACCTCTCCATGCTCTTGCACCTGCAGTAAACAGCATCTGGTGTTTCTCTGCCTGGCTTTCCAAAAGCTTATGTTAATTAAATGCCACACAAGCAGCATCCCTTGGCAGTGACAGGAAGGACTCATTATAATTAGACTGATTTCTGAGATACTGAAGCTGAGCTTCAGATGAGTCTTCTGACTCAACCTGGGTATGGAGGCTGGGGTGGATTGCATGAAACCTGATACCCACGCCTGAATCAGTTGCAGCCTCTAGAGCAGCCAAACAATGTCAGTCTGGATCCAGGCCTAGATCTGGGACTGAGTATACACTGTGGCCCTGATGAAGGGCCATTATTGAAGGAAGGGCAATATGACCGTGCTACTCTTGCTCAATCTTTTTTTGAAGCCTTTGAGATCTTCAGCCACAGTATCCTGGACCATTGGGTTAGAACAGGGGTCCTCAAACTTTTTAAACAGAGGGCCAGGTCACAAACCCTCAAACTGTTGGAGGGCCGGATTTATTTATTATTTATTTATTTGGTAGTTTTGCATACCGGTCTTCTCACCTCCATTCGAGGGACTCGGGCCGGTTTCCAACATTAATATTACAGACCGTCATTAAAACATCATATTTCTAAATCACACTAAAACATTGAAACAATTAAAATGGCAAAAATACAATCATATGATTACAGTGGTCAGTCGTCATCAAAGTCATTATTCGTCGTCATCCATCCATATCACAGGATCATGGCTCATTTGTTGAATGCCAATCCCCAAAGCCAGGTTTTCACCTGTTTCCTGAATGTTAAGATCGAAGGGGCAGTTCTGATCTCCAGTGGAAGGGAGTTCCAGAGTCGAGGGGCCACCACCAAGAAGGCCCTGTCTCTCGTCCCCACCAGCCGCACCTGTGAGGCCGGTGGGATCGAGAGCAGGGCCCCTCCAGATGATCTTAGTAATCTTGATGGCTCATAGGGGAGGATACGTTCGGACAGGTAAATTGCGCCGGAGTCGTTTAGGGCTTTATAGGTTATAATTTGAAGAAAAAAAATGAATTCCTATGCACACTGCACATATCTTATTTGTAGTGCAAAAACACTTTAAAACAATACACCAATTAAAATGAAAAACAATATTAACAGATATAAAGTTATTAGTATTTCAATGGGAAGTGTAGGCCTGCTTTTGGCTGATGAGATAGGATTGTTGTTGTTGTTGTTGCGTGCTTTCAAGTTTCAGAATTAGGCTGACCCTGAGTGAGAGCTGGGTAAATGACCTTGGAGGGCCGTATCCGGCCCCCAGGCCTTAGTTTGAGGACCCCTGGGCTAGAAGCTGGACTATACTTCAGGGACCCTACTCATATTTACAAAGGATGCCGCGTTGCAATATCTTAGACCCTTTTAAACATCTTTTATTATGTGGTGGTGTTGGAAGAAGTCATGAGATTTAGAGAAAATTCTTATCATGATAACCTATCTCAATTTCTTTGTGCCATTTGAATCTAGCTATTCAGATCCTGGACACACTGGAAGGGCAGGTATGAGGCAGTGAATTGAGGCCCCTTCTACACTGCCCAATATCTCAGGATCTGATCCTGGATTATCTGCTTTAAACTGGATTATATGAGTCTCCACTGCCAGATAATCTGGGATAAGAAGATAATCTGGGATCAGGTCCTGGGATATAGGTAGTGTGGAAGAGGCCTTAGTCTGACAAGGAGGAGGCCTTGTGCATTACTGCTTCTCCAAATCTGGAAACATTGTGTACCTGTTCAGGTTTGGGTTGCCCTCCCTTAGAAGGAGCAAGTGTGATGATGCCTCCATGGGCTCCATGACTCAGATTTCCTTTTAGGCATCTTCTGCTATTCTTGGACATACCATGCTCCAGAGTTTGGTAACATCAAGCCTGGAATTGCAGTACACACTGTGTGGGGTTATCCTTCAGGCTGATCTGAATTGTTTAGCTGGTGCAGAAAGCTTTCGAGAACCCTCAGAGACATGGCCCCTGGATTACAGTGACTGTTGATTTGCTAAAAGGCCATGTTCTTAGGGCATTAGGTCCTAAATCTAGGTTATCATAATCTGCCTTCACGCTTATAGATATATTTGATCCTGAGGCTGTCCATAGAAGCCTTCTGGTTGTGCCACATGTTGAGTTGCTGCCTGATGTTGTTTAGAGCAGGACATTTAATAAGATGGCACCTCTTACATGGAATATTAGTCTTGCTTCTCATGTGAAACATGCTATGACCACTATTTGGGATTTTTTTTCTCTCTCCAGTAGATCTATTTTTGCAAGCCTTCATTATATACTTTAGCCAACTATATATTCCACTCTTATGGATTATGTTGGTATTGTCTATTGATTTTAAAATTTATTTTATAAATATCTGCCTTACTGTTATTGCATAGAGCTCTGATATCTTTAGATATAAGCAATTTATATATACTTGTAAATAATTAAATTTGTTTAATCCATATGCTGTATACAGTTTATTACAAATACATTTACATAGCAATGTTACAGTTCTCTAACATAGTATCTATTATTTATTTATTTATATATTTTGCTCAGTCTCATATGAACTATTACAAACTATTTCAAAGAATAATTTAGACTGAAATTATACTTTGAAAATTGACCAGTTAAAAACAGTTTTAGACTTCATGGATAGAAAAATATGGAGGGGGGGATCAAAGGTCCCAAAGGATTTGTAAAACATTATCAACTGCGATGAGGAAGCAAAATATGCAAGACTTTCTTCCATTCTGATAAATTGAAATGCCACATTTGTACCCTGCCTACCATGACTGACTGTCTGTTTAGATCAAAGCTAAGGAACGTGAGTTTTTTTTTCACTCAAGAGCCAAATTTTGTTATACAGAAATGCTAGTTGGGACCAGAAACTAAAGGTTGGGACCTAAAATACCAGCATACTTTAGTCCTGGGTGTGACTAAACTACAGGAGACACAGTTCAGCCTTAGAAATGTCAGGCAAGAGAGACAGAAAAGAGTTGGGAAACCATCATATGATAGAGAAGGGATGTGACCACCTGGAAAAAGGGCAGAATGGGCAAAATTGACGGTGAAACTGGACAGTGCTTGATAATAAGGAGATGCTAATGATGTTGTTTTTATTGCTTTTGTTGTGTTTTATACTGTTTTAATGTTTTAATCTGTATTATGATATTACGTGTACTGTTTTGTTGGAAACTTCCTTGAGTCGCTGACTGGCTGAGAAAGGCGGTATACAAATACAGTAAATAAATAAATAAATAAATAAATGAATCAAAATTGAGTTTTTGGCAGCAATGGCTTGGGTGACATTGTGGAAAAAAGAGGTAGAAACAGTTTCCTTGGCAGATATTTCAAAGGATGGCAGTGAAGAGGAAATGGAGTTGATTACTCAAACTCAGGGGTCAACGTTCTGTTGGTTACCCTTGACCTGCTGACTTTCCCCCCATTCCCATTCTCTTTGCAGCCCACAAATCCTACACGAGATTGGTTAGTGTTTCCTTTCGGAGCAAATCCTTGGTGGATATACTTGGCATCATCTGTGCCTGCCATTTTGGTCATCATCCTCATCTTCATGGATCAGCAAATAACAGCCGTGATTCTCAACCGCAAAGAGTATAAGCTGCAGGTCAGTGCTGGGTCAGGTATTTCATAGCTCTTTAGTTTAGGAAGAGAGCTTCTCTCTCACACACGTCAGTCAATCAGAACCACTAGTCAGTACTGCATACTTCATTCATATTTTGTAACTTTTTCTGTTGTGGTGTTGCTCTCTTTAAGATGTTGACACAGAGAGGTGAAACTTTAATGAACTCACGCTATTTTTTATATTGACATTCAAATATTAAGGTTTTAGGAGAATGGAATGTAGTTTGACATATTTGGTTTCACTGTTTCTGTCTGTAAGCTCTGCGTTTGTTTCCCACACTATTATTTCTTGTTATTTAATATGCAGTATGCTAATGATGTTTTATTTACACTAACATTTCTGTTCCTGTTTACTTCCCTTCATTGGTAATACATTGTAAATATGAACATTATACTTGTTCATTTATTTGCATTTGAAATTCAGTGAATGTCAGAGTTACTTTTTGGACAATAACTCCCAGAACACAACTTTTTAACTAGCATGGTCTGAGTGTATTCTGGGTGCCGTAGTAGGAAAAGTAGTGGGGGGTTTTTTGCTTCAAAATATGAAGCTGTATGTGGATTTGCAAAATGAGCAAGGGCAGAAAACTGAGTAGATTCCTTAATGGAATCTTTCACATTCAGCATCCTTTGGTTACTTTTTAAAGTACCGTATATACTCGAGTATAAGTCAACCTGAATGTAAGCCAAGGCACCTAATTTTACCACAAAAAACTGGGAAAAAGTATTGATTCAAGTATAAGCTGTGGGTGGGAAATGCAGCAGCTACTGGTAAATTTCAAAATAAAAATAGATACCGTTAAAATTACCTTAATGGAGGCATCCATAGGTTAAATGATTTTAAATATTTACATAAAACTGTAATTGAAGATAAGACTGTCCAACCCTGATCAAACCATTATCCTAACCTCCTTCAATATAAATATGTTTCTGTATCCTTCCAATAATAATAAAGAGAGCAAAATAATAAATGTAATAAACATAGTAATACTAGATTAAAATAATGGAAATAATAAAAACAGTAATAATAGAGTAAGATAATAAAAAAGAGTAAAATAATAAAAATAATATTAAATAGAGTAAAATAATACATGTAACAAGGAGGAGAAAGATCTGCGGGAAAAGTGGCGGGGACAGAATGGGAGCCTTGGCTTGGGGCTCTGCTACTCCCGCTGCTTGTCTTCCTCCTCCTCTTCTTCCATGGCTAGCCTCAGAGGAGGAGGAGGAGGAAGATCAGCAGGAAAAGCAGTGGGGGCGACATGGGAGCCTCGGCCTGGGGGCTCTGCTGCTCCCTACGCTTTTTCTCCTCCTCCAAACTGCTCCATGGAGGCGAAGGCCTTTCCTCTAGGCTCTGCTGCCTGGTTTGGCTCGAATATAAGCCAAGGGAGACTTCTTTAGCCCACAAAAAGGGCTGAAAAACTTGGGTTATTTTTGAGTATATACAATAAGCCGAGGGGGGCTTTTTCCGTTTTTAAAATGTGCTGAAAAAAATGGCTTGAGTATATACAGTAACTTTATTTCCATCGTACTTAAATACATGACTTCAAAATAAAATAAAATTCAAATTATTCGAAAGTTCACATTCCATTGTATGCAAACATTTTGCCCTTGTCTTGTATGAGCAAGACCAGACAAGTGCAATCCGTAGCATAAGTGTGGAAGATCAGTGTTGTTGCTCCCCTGAAAATCCTACCCACTCCGGAAGCAGTTAGTACATTGTCCAGCCTCTTGGGGAATCCAATTCCTTTCCCATCTACTCCTCCCACATAAATATGTGCTATTTAAGAGAACTAGCAGTAGCAATTAAATATTCTCTCAGGCTTCCCTGCAGTAGGGGATTTATCAGTTACTTTCACCAAATGTTTTGTGGTGAAATATGCTAGAAGACATATTCCATTCTGCACTTTGCAAGATGGAACTGGTTACTCTGGTTGGATTATGTGCCTGGCATTTCTCTGGTGTTTGGCCTCTCACGTTTGCTCAAGGTTACCTTGCCAGGCTGCAAGGTAACCTCCTCCTTCCTCCTCCTGCTGCCCCAGTAGGAAACAAGTTTCCAGTTTAATTAATCCACAGGCCCAATATGGATGAGCAGCAAGACCAATAGAAACCCAATCAAAATATGTATTTTGGAAGCTATCCATATATACAAATTAATCTCATATATAAATTTAGGGCAGGCTTTTGAAGCCAACATTATGGATTTTGCTTTGACCAGTGCATGTCAACGGTGAAAATTAAGGGACATGTAGCAATCAAATATTTTCCTCTCCTTTTAATAATGCCTAAAGCAGTGGTTCCCAACCTGTGGTCCATGGACCACCAGTGGTCCGCAAGAACTAAAATATGGTCCGCAGCCTCACTGTTACTATATTTTTGCAACAAGAGCAACTGGTCTTGTGAAACCTTTATAGTGCCGAGGCTTATTAAATATGGTTTTCTTTGGGTGAGCAGATGGCGACTACTGGATGGCATATGTTCTGTATCAGAAACTAGAGTTGATGTGATCTATCCAATGCAATTTTCTGAATCAGCACCCCAAATAACCAAATCTAAAGTTGACCAAAAACTGATTCAACCCTTTTGGTACTAATGTTGGAGAGTGGTACCTGGTCAAAGTGGTTCCTGGTCAAAATAGTCCCTGGTCAAGTGCTCCCTGGTCAAAGTGGTCCCTGGTCAAGTGGTCCCTGGTCAAAGAAAGGTTGGGAACCACTGGCCTAAAGAGAACATACTTGGGGAGAGCTAAAGAGAAATGGGTCTAATCTAGATAGGACTATCCTTGCATTTAGCCCAGTGATACCACAGGAGATGCTCTTGAGTGCCACAAAGCATCTGTACGAATGCTATTGACAATTCTGGAAAATAAAAGTGTTCAAAATGTAGTGTGTTTAGAATAGGAGATCTAGGTTCTCTTCCTCAGTGAGTCATAAAACTCACAGAGTGACTTTGGACTGGTTTTTCTCTTTCAGTCTGACCTACTTCCCAAGTTTATTATGAGGACAAAATGGGGAGGAGTAGACCTGTATGTGTATCCTTGAAATGACTGGAGCATGGGTAGGATATAAACGCAACTAAAAGAGCTGTTCTTTTGCAGAAGGGGGCAGGATTTCACCTGGATTTCTTCTGTGTTTCCCTTTTGATGATCTTTACTTCCATCATGGGCTTGCCCTGGTATGTGTCAGCCACAGTCATCTCCCTGGCCCATATGGACAGCCTTAAGAAAGAGAGCACCACGTGTGCTCCAGGAGAACAGCCAAAGTTCCTTGGAATCAGGTACTTATTTTGAGTCTGAACTGAACATTTTTATTTCGGTCAATGACCAGCATTAAAAGAACCAGTAGGGCATGAGCAAAACATACATTTGAGCATTAAAACGCAACTTTTAAAAAATGAGTTTTAAATCACAGTGCAATGTATAAAAATTAAAATGTCATTAAAAGCTGGTATATTTAAATAACGCAGGGAACGTGAGAGGGCACAAGGAGGGAGGGGCATAGTCAGACATGTCCAAGGACTAGGGAGTGGAGGGGGAGAGTGTAGGATGGGAAGGTGTTGTGCTTCCAATTTTCTGTATCATGGTGACTGCCTGCTTCCATGTAGACTGGAAGTCATCCCATAGAATCTGGCTACCAGTATTTTTTTTAAAAAAACTCTAAAATTATAACAGTAAAACACTACTCAAACACAGGAGAACTCAAGAGAGGAGGCAATCGGGGACAGCTAATTGCCTCTCAACAGAGGATTCCCCCAGACACTAACAAGTCACACCTAAAAACTGACAGGCCATCAAATGCTAATCAAGGTGGCCAATTGAAACATTCACACCCACCTTCAACAGACAAGAGTTCTTTCTCCCACCCTGGACACTCCACAGATATATTTTCCTAGTTTCGAACAGACCTCATAACCTCTGAGGATGCCTGCCATAGATGCAGGCAAAACGTCAAGAGAGAATGCTTCTAAAACATGGTCATACAGCCTGAAAAACCTACAACAACCCAGTTATCGCACAGCGTTGTTGCAGTAAGTCAATGGGGAGCATGGGGCCTGCTCTATTTTATGTCCGTCTATGCTCTAGGAGTCTTTTGATTCACCTAAATATGGGTTTAGAGGGATTCTTTTGAGCCACCTAAATATAGATTTTTGTGATCCATGTTGTCCATCATCTACTTTCAGGGAGCAAAGAGTGACAGGACTGGTGGTCTTCATCCTCACAGGGTTATCTGTTTTCTTGGCACCTGTACTCAAGGTAACAAAAGCGTTTATTTTTTGTACCATAGCATATCCCACAATTAATATTGGTATTAACTGATGTCTGGAGAGATCACTAAATCCTTCACAGAAGCCAAACTTAACATTTGAGGTCAAATTAGGCCCAAGCCATTGAAAGCAAATGTTAACAAGTTATTTTTCTCTTTAAATGTGTTTTCTTTTGAAGTTCCAGAATACTTTTCTTTGCTCTAAATCAGTGTTTCTCAACCTTCCTAATGCAATTACCCCTTAATACAGTTCCTCATGCTGTGGTGACCCTTAACCATAACATTACTTTTGTTGCTACTTTGCAACTGTAATTTTGCTACTGTTATGAATCGTAGTTTAAATATCTGATATGCAGGATGTGTTTTCATTCACTGGACCGAATTTGGCAGAAATACCCAATATGCCCAAATATGAATACTGGTGGGGTTTGGGGAAAATAGACTTGACATTTGGGAGTTGTAGTTGCTGAAATGTATAGTTCACCTACAATAAAAGAGCATTCTGAACTCCAACAATGATGGAATTGAACCAAACTTGGTACACAGAACTCCCATGACCAACAGAAAATACTGGTGGGCATTGGTGGGCATTGAACTTGAGTTTGGGAGTTGTAGTTCACCTATATCCAGAGAGCACTGTGGACTCAAACAGTGTGGATCTGGACCAAACTTGGCACGAATATACAAAATGCCCCAATGTGAATACTGGTGGAGTTTGGGGAAAATAGACTTTGATATTTGGGAGTTGTAGTTTCTGGGATTTGTAGTTCACCTACAATCAAAGAGCATTCTGAACCCCACCAATGATAGAATTGGGCTAAACCCCATACAGAACCTCAATGAATAAATAGAAATACTGTGTTTTCTGGTGGCCTTTGGTGACCCCTCTGACACCCTCCTTGTGACACCCCCTCAGGGGTCCTGACCTCCAGGCTGAGAAACTCTGCTCTAAATACTCCCTTGAGATGGTTGAACTTAGTGTGCTAGGAATTCTGCACAATATATATGCTTCAGAGAAAAGTGGAACAAAGAGAAAACAACTTTTTTGGGCTTGTTCTTTTATATTCGCTTCTTCACTCCTAGATCAGTGTTTGGAGCTACGTACTTTGTATTATTTGAAAAATGGCTCCTGTTGGCAGAGAAAAGGGATAGACTCCCAACAATACGCTCACCAGATTTGACTCTTATTAAAGCCCAGTATAACTGAGTGTTCTGAGATGCTTATGCTTTGAATCTGATTTTTTACAGTTTATCCCAATGCCTGTACTATATGGCATTTTCCTCTACATGGGCGTGTCTGCACTTAGCAGTATTCAGGTGAGTGCAAAAAATAAATAAATTTTAAAAAATTAAAAAATCAGAGAAAGCATCCTTTGGATTGCATGGGAAGGAGGTACAATCAGCTGCACTGTATAAAATGACAGAATGCCAACACTGGAGGTGTCTGCCCAAGTTTGGGAAAGCTTCTAGCGTGGGTTCCTTTTCAGAGTATTGTTTGTTAATGAGGCAAAAGAGAAAAGTATACACGGTGCATTCAAAATTAAAGGGTGCAGACAATAATCCATATGAAAAGGGAAAGGAAAAGAAAGACTGATGTCTGACTCAACATTTTATTAACTTGGAGGCAGATTTGTAACTGCAGCAGTGAGGAAATCAAACCCAGCACACAGTGAAGGAATAGATTGTAAGCTGTATCATTGCACTGCATTAATCTTTCCCCATAGACACATATCATTTTGCCCCTTTAAATGAATTTTTGGAGAGTGAAATCATCAATTTTGCAGTGTTTCTTATACATTATCTTGGCAAATGTTACAACAGCCCAATGATGTAAACTAGTTCCAGTGCAATCATCCCAACAATGCACGTGGAAGAGCTGAGACTGAGTGATTAGTGGTTTACCTAATGTAGCTACTCAGTGAACTTTTGGTTCAGTCAAGACCTGAACCAGGAATTTCCCAGCTCATTTAGGACTGATGAAGCATATTTACAGTAGGATGAAAGTGCCTTTGGACAGGGCTTAATGCATAATGTTGTGTTACTACTGTAGTTGCATTGTGCTTAAATTGTCTCTTTTAATTGAAGGGAAAACTCATGAACCTGTGATCACTGTTCCTCTGCCACTCTTCTTTGTGTGATAATGTCTTTCCAGTGCAGTTCCAATATTGTAAAACAGCGGAAGGTCTCCCAAATTATGCAGTTCTGGTAAAAATAGGAGGGGAAAAAAGAAACACCCCCCCAACCAGGCATGTAGCCAGGGGGGAGGGGGCTTGAGGGGCTTCAGCCCCCCCCCCCCCGAAATTCTCATGGTGGTTCGCGAAAAGGCCTTACTGGTGCATTATTTAAACTGCTATGTTTATTAATATCATTATCTGATCACTATAATCAATATATCCATATGCATGGGGGTATTGGGGTAACGATACAAAAGGTTTGCTAGGGTAGACCCTCTTTCACTCAGACTCACCCCCCCCCGAAACTCAGCCCCCCCCCAAATCGAAATCCTAGCTACGGGCCTGCCCCCCACAGTGCATATGGACTGAGTAGGGCAAAAGGGGAGAAGCAAGGCTGTACAAAAAAGTAATTGTGAGAATTCGCATCAGCAGAGTGCCATCATTGGGCAATTGCAATGAATGTGATAATGGTTATTTAAATAACAGTATATTTCCATGTGGTGTTGGAGGAAAGTTCTGAGAGTGCCTTGGACCGCGAGAAGATCCAGCCAGTCCATACTTCAGGAAATAAAGTCCGACTGCTCATTGGAGGGAAAGATATTAGAGGCAAAGATGGAGTACTTTGGCCACATCATGAGAAGAAAGGAAAGCTTAGAGAAGACAATGATGCTGGGGGAAATGGAATGAAAAAGGAAGAGGGGCTGACCAAGGGCAAGATGGATGGATGGGATCCTTGAAGTGACTGGATTGACTTTGAAGGAGCTGGGGGTGGTGACAACCGACAGGGAGCTCTGTCGTGGGCTGGTCCATAGGTTATGAAGAGTCAGAAACGACTGAACAAATGAACAGCATATTTCCATTTACTTAAACAACACAGTTGCAACAAGGCAACAAGCTGGTGTGAAGTCCTTCTTCACTAATTCTTCAGAGGGCAAATGTAATAATGAACATTTTCAGCAGATCTCTCCGTTATTATTATTTCTTTTTTAAAAAGCGATGTGGCCTTAATTCTATTGCTGGTCCCAACCCATTAGGATTTACCCACAAATTGGCACACCAGTCAACAGTTGCTTCAGTGGGTCTGTTCTAGGTGAGACTAAACCATCGGATCCCAGCCATTGTGATAGTTTGTCCCTCTGTAGGGCAGGACTGTCCATGTGAAATATTCAGTACATATAAAACGGTTTCCTGTTGCTAACTTGTTCTCATATATTTTAGTTCACAGACAGACTCCAGCTCCTGCTGATGCCTGCTAAACATCAGCCTGACTTCATTTACCTCCGCCATGTTCCACTACGGCAAGTCCATCTCTTCACCTTCATTCAGATACTTTGCCTAGCGGTCCTATGGATCATTAAGTCAACTGCAGCTGCCATTATTTTTCCAGTAATGGTAAGATTCTTTAGGGAATATGTGTTTATTTGTTTATTTTATATCCTGTTTTTCTTCTGAATGGGATTGAGAATAGCTTACAGTATCAATTAAAACAGAGCCACTAAAACAATATTAAGTATAAACATTTTAAAAAAGTATTGAATGGTACATTAAATTAAAGCACTATTTTTTTAAAGAATTAAAAATTAAAAATGCACAATGCACAATGCAATATTAAAACAGCACACCCTTCCTGGTCGGCCAGGGCTGAAGCCCTGTTTAAACAAAAAGGTATATGCCTTCTGGCAGAAAGACAACAAAGAGGAGATAGATGGAACCTCCCTTCCATGGGAATTCCAGTTCTAGGAGCAGCCACTAAGAAGGCTCCCTCCCATGTCCCCTACAATTGAATCTGAGAGGCTGGTGGGATGGAGAGAAACCCTTTCCCCAAAGATGTTAAGACTTGGGTATTCTCATAAGGAGAAATATGTGCTTTCAAGTATTTATTTATTTATTTACCGCATTTGTACCCTGCCCTTCTCACCCTGAAGAGGACTCAGTGCAGCTTTACAATAGGCTACAATTCAATGCCTTATCAAACAACAAATAATAAAATACACATAAACATTCAAAAAATAAAATTAAAAACCATATAAACAATTTGAAATAATTATTAAAAACCACATAATCCATAATCATAGTCATGATTGCACATATTTATTTGCTCAGCACTTTATTTGTTCAGCCTTGATATTGCTTTTAATTGTTTTTATAATGTTGTCTGATTTTATAATTTATTGATGTTTGATATTGTTTTTTATGCTTATTTTAACCTGTTTTGTTGGGCATGCCCCTTTGTAAGCTCCCCCGAGTCTCTTTGAAAGTGATGGAGGTGGGGTATAAAAATAAAGTTGTTATTATTATTCCCTCTTATTGCACTGCATTTCTACCAAAGGCTTGGCCCCAGAGCCAGGTCTTCAATTTCTTTCTAAAGGTCAGAAGGCAGGGGGCTGACCTGATTTCACTTGGGGTGGGTGAATTCAATAGCCAAGGGGCTACTACTAAGAAGACCCTGTCCCTCGTCCCCACCAACCCCACCTGAGGATTCCCAGGTGTTTTGGCCTACAAATCCCAGAAATCCCAGCAAGTATACTAGCTGTTGGGCTTTCTGGGAGTTGAAGGCCAAAACATCTGGGGACCCACACATTGAGAACCAGTGGTATAGGGCTTATAAGTCATAACCAGTACTTTGAATTATCTCTGGAAATGGGCCAATAGGCAGTGAAGCGGTTTCAATAAGAGAGCTATATGCTTCCTATAACTTTATAGCATCAATATATTGAATTATGCCTGGTGGCTCAATGGTAGCCAGTGCAGAATCTAACAGGGCCACTTTCCCCTTGCCCTGTCAACACCTCCAGTGTAGCATTCTGCATTGACTGCAGCTTTGAGATTGTCTGCAAGGGAAGGGGTGCAAGGAATGCTTTGCAATAGTCCAATCTGGAACTGATCTGTCTTTATTTAACAGGCGTCTCTTTTTAGTCTGAATTTATGTGCCAAGATTGGGAGGTTATCAGATCTAGGGCAACAACGTCTGGCATGCAGTGGATTTGTATCTCTGTGGTGCAGTCTGTTGCTGAGAGTAACTAAAAAGAGGGCAGGGCTATACACTGTGCAATAAAAATAGCCCTGTTCTCAACCCCATTGCCTGTGAAGGTACGGTGCAATTTTTCAGGAAATTTCAGATTTTTCCCATTCCCAAACTGAATTTTGTCTTTTTTCCCCCACAACAAACTGACATGGTTATCCTTTTGGAGAGTGCTGTGTAAATTATTGATCTTCCTCCTTCTCTTTCTAATTTTGTGTAACTCTGTTTTGGCTTGCTAGCTGCTGGCTCTTGTAGGCATCCGGAAGGTGATGGAATACATCTTCCCCCGGCAATACCTGGCTTGGTTGGATGACATTATGCCAGAGAAGGAGAGAAAAGAAGAAGAAGAAGAAAAGCTGAAGAGGAAGCAAGATCAGGATGACAGTGACAGCGAGGATGTGAGCATGATTCTGGGGGACAGAGAAGAGTGGGAAGGGGGCTGCACTGGGTAGAAATGGCTTGCTCTCCCCACCCCCAACCTCAATATGTCCGTGTGAGTTAGCAAAGAGGGAAGAAATGTAACCTGACTGTGTGCAGGGGAGGGCTGGCCTAATCCCCTTGTGGCTGGTTAAGAGCCACTATCTTTCTGAAAATATTCCTTAGGATGTACATTGGCTCATTTGTAGTTAGAGGAATGAAGAGATAGAACAATCTTTCATCACTTCCATTGGTGACTTAGTCCCATTTTCCAGACATCAATGTGATGTAGGTGGACATGGTGGGCAGGGCGTCAAACTGCAGGAGCTCATCACCTGCCAGAGAAAGATCTTACTGGCACAATCATGTAATACTTGGGGATTATGGGAGTGAGAGCTTCACTTGTATCTTGCCTTGCACTGCTAGTTCATTATGCCATCTTCTCAAGAGGCACTTTCTGTGGTCCCAGGGTCTAGCACCATATAAATCATTCGGCACGAAAATGAAGGGCTGTCTTGTAACAGGGCTTTGACACAACCCTTTGGAAATGATGGGCTGGCAGGAGTACGCCATACTTATCTAGGTTGTGCGCACACAAACTGATCTGTAACTGCAGCCCAAAACAAATAAGCTGTGTCCCTTATAATACTTTTTGGTTGATGGGGTTGATCGGTCTGGTCACAGGAGACAATGCCTTTTCACTCCTTGGGTTTACTCAACAATCTGCTGAAAGAAAACATTACTTTGAGATTCTAGAACAATAGTTCTCAACCTGTGGGTCCCCAGGTGTTTTGGACTACAACTCCCAGAAATCCCAGCCAGTTTACCAGCTGTTAGGATTTCTGGGAGTTGAAGGCCAAAACATCTGGGGACCACAGGTTGAGAACCACTGTTCTAGAGTATCACCCTGGCCTTATTCTCGACCCAGAATGGTGTAGTGGTCTGAGTGTTGGAGCAGAGCTCTGGAAGAGCAGCGTTCAAGTTCCTGCTTGGCCATGGAAACCTACTGAGTGACCTTCAGCAAGTTATACTGTTTCTGGCTCAGAGGAAGACAAGCGCAAACCCCCTTTGAACAAATCTTGACAAGAAAACTTTGTGATAGGATCACTTTAGAGCAGGGGTCCTCAAACTACAACCTGAGGGCCGCATACGGCCCTTGCTCAGGATCAACCTAAGTCTGAAATGATTTGAAAGCACACAACGACAATAACAACAACAACAATCCTATCTCATCAGCCAAAAGCAGGCCCACACTTCTGACTGAAATACTAATAAGCTTATATTTGTTAAAAATGTTCTTCATTTTAATTATTGTATTGTTTTAAAGTGTTTTTGCACTACAAATAAGATATGTGCAGTGTGCATAGGAATTCATTCATGGTTTTTCCAAATTATAATCTGGCCCTCCAACAGTTTGAGGGATTGTGACTTGGCCTTCTGTTTAAAAAGTTTGAGGACCCCTCCTTTAGAGTCTCTATAAATTGCAAATGACTTGAAGGAACACAAAAACAACAACAACATGATATGGGGTTAGGAAAGACAATCTGAAACATTTCTATCTTATCTGAGAAATTGATCCTTGTTCCCCTTTGTCCATTTTTGTCTCCCTATTGATTTGTCCTTTTCGAAGTGATTTTTCTGGGGCAAGGAGTCAATCTACACCTGCAAAATAATACATCCATATGTTGATCACAATCCTGTTTGAATTGTTCCTAACATTTCATAGTGAAAGCATTTCTTTCAGAATTGTGGTCTTTAATTAATCTTTTATAATAAGAAAACCCCTTTTAATCAAGTTTCTAGAAACTAGTCCTCCTCCCACCACCATTGCCCTTGTGTGGACTGAGCCAAGGAAAAGTAAATTAAAAAAAAGATGAAGTGTGTGCTTTATTTTTATCATTTTATTAACTCCTTTCTTGACCTATTTTTTTCTTTTTTAGTCTGAACTTATGTACCAAGAAAAAGGACCAGAAATCAACATTTCTGTGAACTAGAGGGATTGATATACACTGGTGGACCAAGCAAAAATAAATGTCTAATATGTAAGTCTTTCTCTTCCTGCCTCACTCTAGTGACTAGTTAGGGACCAAAGGGGATTGGTTTAGTCATAAAAATGCTTAGGAATCAATGGCAAAACTGAAGGAAAAAATCTAAGGCCTTCAGTGGCTAGAGACTCCCTACTGAGGGTGGAGAGTTGCAGAGTGAGTGAAGGGCAAGTGGTGTGTTGAGATCACTGTACCTGAGCTTCCAGGCTTAACATTACAGCTGGGACAGAGGCAACAGAGGCAACCCCCTCCATGGTTCTCACAGGCACTGGTCCCAAGATGTCTCTTGTGAAGGCTCATCCTTGTTCCTTTTAACATGTCCATGAATCAGAATCCAGAGCAGGGTGAAACATGGAGAGGTCCTGATTCACCCAATTCATTCTCTGGTACTAAGTCAAAGGAATGCAGTTGAAATGGAGTTGGAAAATTTCCCTGAGGTGTGTTAGAACCCATTTCCTAAAAATGAAGGGGGCTACTAGCTGCTGAAAACAAAATTAACCTGCACTCTAGCACTGGTCCTGAGTCTGTACTTTACTTTCTCTTATATATAAATATATATTATCACCCTGATATGTGAAAGCTACTGCTAGGATATTAATGTGATTAAGGGAAAACTTCTTGTCTAACCATCCTTGGCTCTTGTTGGGCCAATCTCTAGGAACACCAAAAGAGATATAGCACCTTAGCTTGAGTCTAATGCTCACCTTTTTTTTGGCCAAATTATATTGCCAAAATTGAGGTGTGCAGTAGAATCGTGCACATAAACCCACCTGCGTAATAAGACATCGAGGGACCTGGAAGCCAGACAGGGAGGCAGAGGCAAAGAGGGCATTCCCAGTGACAGCCTCAGGGCTCCGTGGCGCCCAGGGAAGGAGGAGGAGTCATTCCTGCCATTTAGCTGCAGAGGGGCTGTGGGGCCTTCAGTCCTCTCTGACCAATGGAGCAGAAAGCATCACCCTCACTGCCTCTCTCTGGGCCAGAGCTCAACTGGCAGCCCTCATAGTGTCTCATCCACACCACCCCTCATAATACTGTCCTGTGCTGTTCCCAATTGTCCTTATTTGCGAGGCCTTCAAAACCTCCCCGTTTTGAAGGTCTCATGAATGAGACCAGTTGAATTTGCCAGCCTGGAGGGGAGTGGCTTCCCAAACTGTCTCATTCATGCAGCATGCCTCTTTGATGCACAATGCCAGAACTGTTGAGTGCATAACATTTGATAGCAAATCCATGAAAATTCAGGTGTGCATGTCATTCGATGGCATGGTATAATCAAGTAAATACAGTAGTGCCTTCTGTTCTGCCATAAGAGCCCAGGAAAACATAATGGCTCTCCCCTCCATCCTCTTCTATGGAATGGTAACTGTAAATAACTTGTCCCAGTGGCTGTCATAGCCTCCTTGGAGCTTGGATGCCCCAAAGCCTCGGGCAGGGAGAGGTTCTGTGGTGATGGCCTTGGCCAGATTAAGCTCTCGATGCTTTCTGGTGAAGCTTTCTTATGAAACAACCCTGCATTATTACTGGAATATGTATAGACAAATGATGCTACCTTCCATTTGTAACCTGCATTTTCCGTATTTTTCTTTCCACAGTAGACTGTACTAGAAGTGCTGGGAAACCTCTGCCTGGAAGGACACCCTTACCTCTTTTACTTATGGTGACAGCCATTTTTGCTGTTACCAGGATGGGGTGGTATGACATGCAGGTTCTACCTTTGCTCAACTGCAGATACTGCAAAGCAGGACTAAGGACAGGAACAAAAGACAGAAAGCCCCCATACACACTGCCATCCTGCAGTGGACCGCTATATCACAAACTCACTGCTGTCACCATCATGAATGGACAGAGGACCATCCTTCACTTGCACTATAACAGAAGCACATGAAAAGATGGGACCAAACCAGAATGGCCCCATGACCTGCTTCTCATGTTCGATACTCATCTCCTGCCATCAAAGTTTTCTGGTGCTACAAATGGTTGTAAAACTCTAAAGTACTTATCTAATTCTGCTAGCGATTACTGAGGAGTTATTGAAGTTTTGTGTGATGCAGTCGTACAGTAACTGAAAGAGTATCCAAAACATCTATCCTTGGGACTAAGCTCTGCTTGTATGAGTGGTGCTTCTACATCAGTGTATCTTTGGATGTTTGCACTGTCTTCTGTGTTCATTTAAAATTGTCCCTTGTTGATTTTGTCCCCATCCGTTGTTCTTGTAGATAATCGGGACCCCATTAGTATTTGCAGATCTATCTCGTGGGGGATCTTTTGTCTTTTCTACTAGCTGGTCTAGATCATGTATAGGAACAGGCTTTCTTCTTAGGTAAGCACATCTTATCTCTCCTTGCTGTGGTTCACTTCCTTTCTCTCATTTACAAACACTTAGAGCAGGAATTAATACATGGCCCAGATATTACTACCAGTATATTATTTCTATGCATACCAATTTTTTCTGCTTTTATTCAGCACAATCCTTTGATATCTGGATTGGCATCTCTGGGCCCTTTAGATATATTGAGGCTTCCCTCCAGAGATAGAGGTCCACCCTCTGAAGAGCTTCTGCAAAAACATCTCTTAGCCTATATCAGTCCAGCATAGAAAGGAGGAAAAGGGGGGCCAGTGTAGGAATGAGGGATATTGTCTGAGAGAGGCTTAGGATGAAAAGTATCCTGGGCCATAAACATGTCCTCAAACCCGCTGATAACCAATGTCAACACTGGAGTTATTGTAAGAAATTTGTAAAAAAGAAAAAAAAGGTGGGGGTGGGGTGTGGGGTGCGAGGGATAAATACATTTGTGGAGGATGAAAGGAGAGAAATTCCAACTTTCTTTCACTTTTGAATCGGAGACATTCAGAGGTCTCCAAGACAAGAGTTATGTAAGTTCTGCCCATATCAAATGGCAAACATCTCTGTACAAATTGGATGCATTTTACCTTTGTCTCCTTCAAAACATTTGATTCAGGCTCTTTAATTTACAAAACAGGTTACAAGCCACAAATATGTATCTTTTGTTTACAGTGTGGAGATGAGGGGAGAGAGGAAAATTGTCATCATTGTGTATGAGCCGGGGATTGGTTAGAGTGCTTTTCTAATTTTCAGACAGAATGCCAAGCGGTTTGATGTAAGTTGTTTCACGGGAAGGAGACAGATTGCATTTAGGAGGCCATTCCTGGCACTTTCTGGAATGTGATTGATGTATGATGGGAATAGAAAGCCTAATCAAATGACCTAGCAAATTTAACAGAAGATGCTCTCACCCCACTACAAAAAAAGGGGCATAGGCAGTCGCTCTCCCTCTCAGCTTTCTCTCATACATATCTTGCTGTTTCAGAGGCTCCTCACTGAAAATACTTTCCAAGTACAAATGTGCAACCACAGAAAGTCACACGTTGCAAATTACTGTGCCATATCTTTAGGAACACTTAAGTACAAGATAAACATAACTTTGGGGGAAAACATAAATAATCAAATATATATTCAGCAGCCCTGTAAAACACACAGTAAAAAAAGACAAGCTTAGTGAAATCTAGATCCTATATTTAATAAACCTAATATGTAATACAAAGAGTCCAGGCAAAGAGTCCAGACTCCAAGATGAAAATCCAGTTATTTATTAAAAAGCTTGGTTTTTCACAACAATTCTGTAATATATTATTGTTTCTGTACTTCTTTAGAAGGCAAAGTCGAAACAGACTTCAACAAACATCAGCCAAATGTACAAACTCAGTACAAAATTGGCTGATCAATATTTTTACTCCTATAGAAAACAATCCTGTCATAATTAATCTTAAGTTCTGGACCAAATGAAGCTATTTTAAAGAAAATGGGTGAGCAGATCTCTAGAAATACATGAAGTACCCAATAGAGGTCAAGCAAGAAATAATGAAAAAAGGCATAATGAATAGCGTGTAGGCATCAGTGCAAGTGGTAAATGCCCTAGGCACAGTATAACTTTCCAAATGTATGTTACATATCAATTAAAATGACAGTTTGAAAGAGAAACTAATTGATTGCTTCCCCTACAATTTAAAGGAACAAAATGATTTCAGTTTATGTCAGTATGGTCATTTAATGGGAAAGAACCAGAACGTGTAGCTATTTATTTGACATGACTCTGGAGAACCAAAAGGCACACACTGTGATATCAGGGAACAAAAATGTTCACAAAATTACAGAATGACAAGTCTGGTTTGTCGTTGAAGTCCACAGGGGACAGACGTTTTAATTTATGAATCCCAAATGCCTCACTTCTAGTTGAGGTATTTTTTATCTACTGTTGTCATTCCTCTATTATTCAGCTTCTATTAAAAGTTCTCAAGTAATATGCTAAATAAAATATACCAAATGGCTATTGTTGCGGCATTCATTTATTTATTCAATTTCGTACAAAGATATTAAGCTCTTGTAAAACAGAGTGGAGTAGTGGTTTGACCATCATTCGACGACTCTGAAGACTAGGGCTTGAATCTCTACTCAGCCATGGAAACTTACTGGGTAAGCTTGGACAGGTCACATTCTCTCAGCCTCAAATGAAGGCAAAGACAAATCCCTTCTGAACAAATCTTGCCAAGAAATCCCCCATGAAAGGATTGTCTTACAGTCACTGTAAGGAACTGTTTACTACTCAGGCCACTAGTGGTTTGACCGATGGTTGTTTTATACTATGTTATGTTGTGGTTGTTTTATACTGTTTTATAATGTTGTTTTATGAATTTTAGTGTGTTATATTTTAATTATGTTCAATGGGCATGTCCCCATGTAAGCTGCCCCAAGTCCCTTCGGGGAGAAGGAGGCTGGATACAAAAAAAGTTATCATCATCATCATCATTATTTGAAACACAACATGGTGAGTCCACAAGATCACTCTGCTGGCTGTTGCATTGGATCACACATCAGACACTTCCCAAGTGTCTAGGACTGTGTGATGTATTGGTGAATAATGCATGCAGATCCCAGTAAGGTGGCCTTTTGCAGCTGGCAGATGGTAATTTTGTCAGCACCGATTGTCTTTAAGTGCAGGCCAAGGTCTTCAGGCACTGCACCCAGTGTGCCAATCATCCCTGGGACCACCTTTGCTGGCTTGTGCCAGAGTCTTTGCAGTTCGATCTTTAAATCATATCAACTTTTATCGTGTCAGCTTTTCCAATTCTTTATTTTCAGTCCTGCTGTCGCCTGGGATTGTAACATTGACAATCACGCCTTCATTTTTTTTTTTACATGATCATGAGATCAGTAGTATTGTGTTCCAAAACTCTGTCAATCTGAATTCGGAAGTCCCAGAGTAGTTTGACGTGTTCATTTTCTGTAACTTTTTCAGGCTTGTGATCCCACCAGTTCTTTGTCACAGGCAGATGGTATTTGTGGCACAAGTTCCAATGAATCATCTGAGCAATGGTGTTATGCATACATGTTAATAATACAGATTGTTATTATTATTATTATTTGGAATTTTGCTAATCTTGGGAGCAGAGCATTCTTGCATTCAGCACTGTCAAGGGCAAATGCAATGCAACATTTCCCAGTCAACTACAATAGCATCGTAATTATGCTGCATATTTCATGTACCTTTCTCTTTCTGCACTGGTTCTCAGTGTGGGGCATAACCCACCAGGGGAGTACAAATAGTTGCTCAGGGGAGGCACAAAAATGGGAGAACAGGCTCCTCAACTTCTCACATTCATTGAAAACAGAGAAGTATCATTGTGGCAGCAATAGTGGAGACAGAAGTAGCCAAGAAAAACCTGCCCACCAGCACTTGTATATGCATTTGCAGGGTAGTGACCAGCAGATATCTTCTACAGTATATACATTACATTAGAAGAATAATAATTAACTTTTAACAACTTCATATTTTCTTTTTATTTTCTTAATTGCTTAATTCAGATTAATTAATTTAACCACAATCGAAACCTGTAAAAATGTTTTGAACTAGTAATGTATTATTGTTGTTGTTGCTGCTGCTGCTATTATTAAATTTGTTACCCACCTCTTATTATGGCTTGAGGAGGGGTTCAACATGGTTAAAACATACAAATTTGCAGCTCTGGGGAAAAAACCTACATTTGTAAGATGACAGTGCTAAAATAGGATATGTTTTTACTTTTTTAAAATTAGTATCATCACAGATGTACATTTTGTGGCTATAGTAGAATTTCTGCCCCTTCTCTAAAAATGGGAGAAGCTGCAATATTTGATGAAATCACTTAGTTTAGGAACATCGTATACTTTATATATAACATCGACAAAACGTTATCATGTATTGTACATCAAAATACAGATTATTCAGTTAATAATTGCAAACTGATTTGCTAGAAATGAAGTGACAAGGTGCTGAACTTTAAAGAAGGTTGATTGGTTGGTTAACCTAAAAACCTAAAGCAATAGGTTTTAGGTTAGTGTAACCTAAAACAATACGCAGAAAAAAATCAAAATAAATAAAATAAAATTATTTTGTCTCAAGCAGACACAAAACACATAAAAAGGAATGAGAAAAGAAAACCTGGTCCCAAATTAAATTGTCTCAACTAGAACAGATTCATTGATGGAATGGGAATTACTCATATGTAGACTGTAAATTCAACCAGTGTTTCAGTATGTCTTCTTTCACTGGAATTAACTAATAAGATTCAGAGTTAATACCAAGTATTTATTTATTTACAGCATTTATATACCACTTTTCTCACCCCTAGGGGGACTCAAAGCGATACTGCAATGAACTGATACGGCATTGTATGCACCTAAGCATCTTTTTCATAAACAAAATAAATAATTTGTGGACACACAGCTTTTATTTTCCTCTTTATTTTCTCAAATACTCTCTTGGATAACTAGAGTTGGGAGACAGTGAAGAGCTCAAGATTACCCACTCAGTTTCATAGATCAGTGTGGACTAAAAAATAGGATGGGCAACTATGGCTCTTAGGATGTATCACTGTTGGCTAAGACAGATGGGTGTTGGAGGACAAAAATACCTGGATGGCCACAGTTACACTTCTATAGACCTGCCAAGTCCCACGTTAAAACCCCAAATCATTAAAACATGATTTGCTCACTGTAAACATTGTAACTGCTTTGATATCTACAATACTGTTTCATTTACAGACTTTTATGGAAATTGGTGTTGGTATTACCTATGTATCAAATGACTGTTTTTGGTACTTTGAAAATAAGTGTATGGGATGTATTCTGTGCCCCCTCTTCTTTCTAAAGAGAATTTTAATATGTTAACCATATAGCATCTTGGGACACAATTGAGTTAGATCTTACACTTTGTGAATTTCTTAAAAAAACATCTGAACCCTTGAAATGTACATTTAAGGCCCTCGGTTTAGGATGGGAAACTACTCACACTCTTGTATTATCAGGCAACTGCTTGGCAGGCCACATTGTTTTTCTTTCTATCAAGAGGCAAAGACAACAGCCTTTTTCTCAGAGTCATAGGTGTGATCTACGTGTGACTTTAATGTATAAATGTGTAGAATAAGAAGGCCACTTTATTAAAATATTTCTAAACAGCTCAATAAAATCAATCACAATATAATAAGATGCAATGCATGGATTGTTCTTAAGCATGGATGTGATATCCACGATTATCTGACTCGTGCTCTAACCCAAGAGGTTGGAGCCTCTCTTGGTCCCCTGTATGATTCTATGATATGCTTTCAGGCCAATTATAATCAAAATATAAGGATTGCTATTATCCATGGTTTCAGGTATCCACAAGGGTTCTTGGAACATATCCCCCAT